CACCTCCCCCCTTCTCCTGCCAGAATCCCAGGCATCGCTGGAGATGCACGCCAGGGTCACCTGGGAGACACTTTGCATGGCGCTCTTGGCCTGAGCAAATCATGTTCCTCATGACACTTTGCACATTCATGCATCAGCCAGCATTCATTCAACACTGTGAGCTCCAGAGCCTTCAAGCAATGAACGAGAGAGGAAGTCTCTGCAATCAGGGAGCTCACGTTCCTACACAGGTGAGATGAAGAGACAAAGCAGGAAAAGGCCAGCCTGTGGTCAGATACGTGCAGAGAACTAAACCGTGACAGAGTGATGGGGTGGCTACTTGAGATAGGGTAGATCAGATCAAGGAGCATCTCCAAGGAGACGTGGATGGCAAGATTGAGTCGGCCATGCAAATGGCTAAGAGAGGAGCATTGTCTCAGTGCACGGAGGGCCCTGGGGTGGGAACACAGCTGGGTGTTCCGGGAACAGGGAGAAGGCCGGTGTGGCTGGCGCAGAGAGAGCGGATCAGGGCGGGGCAGTCAGAGAGGGGGAAGGCCAGCCTTTACATTCTCGTGGACTACGGTAAAGAGTGTAGCATCATTCTAAGTGCAACTGGAAGGGGGATGAAATGATCTGAACCAGGTTTTGAAAAGCTCCCTGTCTGCTGGGTGGAGAATGAACTCGGGGTTGGAACCAGGAGGCGGCAAGAACAGAACCGGTTAGGAGGTTACTGCAGTAATCTGGTGAGAGGTGAGATGACAGGCACTGGGTGAGAGGGGAGAGACAGCGTATAAAGGGGGGAAAAGACTGAGTGAGGATAGTTTGGAGGTAAAATAATCAAGGCGTACTAACGAATTGGGTTGCAGGTGCAGTAAACAGAATTGGTCCCCCCAAAAATGTCTAAGTCCCAATTAGACACATTTGGAACCTGCAAGTATGGCACCTTACATGGCCAAAGGGTCTCTGCAGATATAATTAAGTTAAGGATCTTGAGATGGGAAGATGACCTAGGTGGGCACCCTGGGTCCTTAGAAGAGGGAGTAGGAGGGTCAGAGTCAGAGAGGAGCTGTGGTGGAGCACACAGGAAGTCGGAGAGACAGCGTGGAGGAAGCTGAACCGCTTGTTTTAAAGGTGGAGGAGGGGCTATGAGCCATGGAATGTGGGCAGCCTCTAGAGCAGGGGCGGGAACCTTTTTTCTGCCAAGGGCCATTTGGACATTTATAACATCATTTGCAGGCCATACAAAATTATCAGCTTAAAAATTAGCCACTCTATTTGCTCAAACGTTCAATTAACTCACCTCTAATGTGATGGCTGGAACTGCTTTTCTTTGATGAGGTGTGTGATGTCAGCTGGCATTGATTTTGTGGGCCTGATATGGCCCCGGGCGGGCACTCGCCACCCCTGCTCTGGAGGCTGGAAAAGGCCAGGACGGAGCCCTCCCCAGAGCCTCGAGGAGGAACACAGCCCTGCTGACACCTGACTGTAGCCCAGTGAGACCCATTTCCAACTCTGACCTCCAGAACTGTACGAAAATAAATCGGCGTCGTTTTAAACCAGTATATTTGTGATGTAGCAATAGGAAACTAATGTATCAGGAATGAGGGAAGGAGAGGGATTAAAGATGAATTTTAGATTTTAGGGTGCACAGTGGAGTGAATAACGGTTTCATTTTGCCATTTACTGAGGTGAAGAGGAATAAAACCAACAGTTCTGTTTTGACTAAGTGACCTTTGATATCCAAGTACAGAAATCACGTTGGTGAGCAGGAAGGTCCAAGGAAGGGAAAAGCAGGATGTGTCTGTACAGAACCCAAGATTAAGAAGTTTCCAGAAAGAGGGAGAGGTCAAGTGAGTCAAAAGCAACTGGAATATCAAGGAAGAGAAGAGAACAAACAACCATCAGACTGGGCAACACGGAGGCCAGGTCAGAGGGGGACCTTGGCATCAGGACCTCGGAGATGTGCGAGGAACACGAGCCCAACTAGCACAGGCTGGGGACATGAGGCTTGTTGCAGAGGCTCTGCTGCAGAGGACCAGAGAGATGGGCGGTAGTGAGACAGCCGTGTGAGGTCAAGGAAGGTCTTGACAGGCACGTCTGGGCCTGTGGGCCCCAAGGGAGAGGCCCAGGAGAGAGACAGGAGAGAGACAGGCCCGGACGTGGTCCCGGAGGGAGAGAGAGGCGATGGCTGCAGCAGCGAAGTCCTGCGAGCACAGAGGGGGTTCCGAGCACAGGTGAAGGGCTGCTGCCCGTGGGAGGGACCGAGCCCTCCGGGAGGGGCAGGAGGGGGGCGGGAAGTGCACGGGTTTCCTAACTGCTTCCGTTTCCTCCATGAGGAAGGAGGCTCGTCATGGCGAGGAGTGACAGGGTGGCGCTCACAGGATGTGACAGGTCTAAGAAAAGAACATCTGAAATGGACATTTTGGAAAGTGGGCCTCCAGACAGATGCAAGAGGGGCAGTGCCCTTGAGGTCACTGGTCACCAAGCGCCAGTGGCCAGCAAGGCCCAGGCTTTCCTCTGGGCTGCTCGGCCGCCCGAGGGCGTGGGGAGGCCGCGCTGGGTTGGACCAGGCCCACGGAAAGCAGCCGGATGGAGAAGAGGAGGGCCCGTACCGCGAGTAGGAAACATCGATTAGTGGTCCCACTTCTGTTCAGCCCCCCAAGAAATCCCCAGGGGCTCCGATCTCACCCAAAGTGAAAGTTAATATCCTAGAGCCTATGGCCCGGCTCTCTGGCCCCCACCCTCTCGCCCTCACCGCACCTGCTGGGCACATGGCAGCGTGTGTACCGCATGTACAGATGCCCCATGCAGATATCCAGAAGAAATCAAGAGGCATGTCTCCCCTTCATGACAGGACCCAGCCCCGGTCCTCAGTCTTTGCAGACTCAGCCCCTCGCCAGGGCGCCTGGCTCGCAGTCGGGGCTTGCCGTTGACCAAGACCCAGGCCTCGGCAGCTCTGCCTCAGGGCCCTTCGTTCCCCCTCCACTACCTTCGTTTGAATCGTGACCCGGTTCAGAGGGCCTGGCCTCACTCTTTGGAATTCTTGACTGAAAGACAAGGATGGCAAAAGTCAAAGGTTAAGAGTTCAAAACAAGTTGGCAGAAATGATATTTTGAGAAAATCTTGGTAGTTGGAGTCCAGGCTTCATGCCAAAGCCTCCTCCCCATGTCCACACACAATGCAGAAGCTGGGAGTCCACTGTGAAAGAGAAGACAGCAATTCTGCGGTGCTGGCCACACACACACACACACATACACACACACACACACACTTCCCCTAGAGAGACCTAGCTTAAGAAAAGATAAGGCAACTGGAAAGTCATCAGCTTGCGGTTGGTTTGGCTGGTCCCCAGCGCTCAGAAGTGCAGGAAGTGACTCTGACGGGCAGGGGGCATGCTATCAGGCCAGCCCAGAAGGCTTGGAAATGGCTCCTTCGGGAAGTCACGGACAAGTTAAATGCACACCCACCCCATCAACAAACAGACTCTGCCCTCAAGAGGGATGGCTGAGAGGAGATAGGTACCACTGAGCCCTCACATGGTGCTGTGGAAAGACCACCAGGAACACTCAGAAGGGTGTCAGAAGCAAGTGCAGTCTGAGCTGGGCCTGAGGAATTTCTCCAAGTGAGATTCCAGGCAGAGGGAGACTGGACACCATCGGTGTGTCTGGTGGGGCAGGGGCAGGGGCAGGGAGAGGGCTACCACAGGGAGTGGGGCAGCTGCGAAGGGCCTGGGACACCTACTTTCCCAGGCCTCCAGGCCAAAGACTCAGTGGAGACTGACTCCCTTGGCCTGGCGGGCCAGGGACAGAACAGTGGCATTTACTGCAGATCCCCGCCAGCATCCCCTCGCTGGCTGAGCACTCCTCCAAGGCTGGCTGACTTGAGAGAAAACACAGCTACTTGTTAGGCATTGACTCTGCAAAGCCAAGGACAGCATGTCCTCAAGGGGGCCAGGCTCACAGCAAAGGGGCTGAGCCAGCCGTAGGTCAGGAGAGAAGAGAGACAAGAAAGGGAAGCAGGGGAACCCAGAACTCTGCCCCAGAAAGGACCACTCAGCAAGTGTCTACCCTGCAGTTGCAGGAAAAACAAGAAGAGAAGGTCACAGGCAGTCAGTCAGCCCAAACAGCAATTCATCAGCCAGTATTCACCCAGAGCCCCAATAGTCACCCTCAGGATGACACCAAGACTCTTAGATGTGGGACCACGCCCTGGCTGGGCACTTCCTCCCATGGGCCTCCATAGCCCTCATCCCTCCACCGCTCCAGCCCTGACCACGTGCATGCCACGTCTCTATGTACCAGACTTGAGCACAAGGATGATCTTAGTGATCTCTGCCTGCCAGGTCCTCAGGGCGGGGGCTGGCACAGAGCAGGTGCTCACTAGCTATTTGATGAGTGAATGAAGCCAACTCAACTCAAGGGCGGAGACCAAGTTTTTCATTTAATAATTACATGTTTTTGGTGCTTGAGATTTAGCAATGAACAAAAGAGTAAAACTATCCCTACCTCATGTTGCTGACAGCCAACTGGCCTCATTCATCTTTGTGTCCCCATCACACACCACGGCACCCCACATCCCAGCCCTGGCTCACTACCGGGCCGAAGCCCTGGTTGTGCATTTACTAGTTCTGTGACCCAGCTGATACCATGTCATCAGCTTCAGGCCTCAGTCACAGTTCAGTACAACAGGAAACCCACCCCACCTCCCCCCAACAGCACATCTTTGCTGTCCTTGTTCTTATTGTTATCCTGCCTGCTTCCTCTCTCCCTGTGAAGGACTGAGTATCTGGGCCCTCCTTCCACACACAATACTCCTGATTCAAGGCTGCTTCTGATAAGCTGGGCTGGAAACTGCATTATCTCACTTACTCCTCAGAACCGCGCAGCTCGGAGAAGATAAATAATGCACCCAAGACGAGCCGAGCAAGTGGCAGACGGGATCGAACCCAGGTCTAACATGGCCGAGCACACTGCCTTCTCCTGCTCCAGGGTTTCTTTCCCCTCTACTAAAATACCTGCATCCGTCTAGCCTGCCGTCCAGGACTGAGGGTGTCCCCAGGACATGGGACTTCCTTTCAGTGTTAAAACCAGGTAAGTCTCAGGCCAACTAAGATGGGTCAGTCACCCCAAAGCAGTGGTTCTCAGCCTTCCTAATGCCGTGACCTTTTAATACAGTTCCTCATGTGGGGACCCCCAACCATAAAATTATTTTCATTGCTACTTCATAACTGTAATTTTGCTACTGCTATGTCTTAGGCGACCCCTGTGAAAGGGTCGTTCAACCCCCAAAGGGGTTGCGACCCACAGGTTGAGCACGGCTGCTGTAGATGAAGAGAGATTTTAAAGATTCATCAAGTAAGAAAAAAAAAATGTGGGTAAGACTAAACTGTAGTGTAGGGGTGCATACCAGCATGGTTGAGCCATATGGAAATGGAATGAAGCAATTCCTATAAGTCAGGGTAGCCCAGCCGGTGTGGCTCACTGGTTGAGCATTGACCCATGCACCAAGAGGTCACCAGTTTGATTCCCCAGTCAGGGCACATGCCCAGGTTGTGGGCCCGATCCCCAGGGGGAGCATGCAGGAGGCAGCCAGTCGATGTTCTCTGTCATTGATGTTTCTATCTCTCCCTCTCCCTTCCTCTCTCTCTAAAATCAATAAAGAAAAAATTTTTTTTAAAAAGTCAGGGTAGCAGTTACTTTTGGATGGAGGGAGGGGCCTGTTAATTGGGATGGGGTGAGTGACCCACAGGTTGAGAACTGCTGACCCAAAGCTACGCTCTGCCCGAGATCTTCCTCCTGCGTCTCTGCCAGGCCTTACCTATTGCCACACGAGCCCACCCTGCCCTCAAGCCCCCAGTAACCAAGTGCACCTTGCTGCCATTGTTTTCTTCAGGCTGCAGGGTGTGCAGAGCGACCTCTGTCCTACCCCCCCGGACATTCGTGGCCAAAGTCTGGTCCTGAAACTCCTTGCGCCAGAATCACCTGGGTGCTAGTTAACAATCAATCCTGCTTCCTGAACCCAACCCCATTAAGACCTCCTGAGGCAGAAGCTCGGGCCCAGCCTGGGAATCTGAGTTGCTGACCAGCCCAGGTGACTCAGCTGCCCAGAGGTTGGGCAACTGCCCTGCGCTGTAAGCCTCCTGTGGCAGGTTGCCTGTTTGCTCTATTTCTTTGGCTGCAGGTCCCCCCTCATTAGAGGTGCTCATTAAATGCTAAGGATTGAGGTTGAGGCCAGGGGCTTCCAGACCTGCCTGATCACACCTGAGGCTCGATTTTAAAATGCAGATTTCCAGCCCCCACCTGGGACCTAGGGAATCACCATTCCAGAGGAGAGGTCTGTGAATCCATAATGTCCAGGCTCCCCAAGGCCAGTGCTACACAGAGCACATCCATGACCAGCAGCAACGGCATCACCTTCCCAGACCTGCTGCATCTGGAAGAGGGGCAGTCTGGGTCCTAACAAGCCAGTTTGGTGCTTCTGTGATCGAGCAAGTTAGAAAAACATGAGTGAAATGGGAAGAAAATGGAACTAGAGTGAGAAGTGGGCGAGAATCCGGCTCAGTGAGCATCTCCAGGGCTCAGTCTGCCCCACTGTTCATGCAGTTGCTGTGATGACTGACTGGGAGCCACGTGAAAGTTCACGTCCAGAATCCAGTGCAGTGCAGAAGCTCTTCCCCATTGGCACTATGTTAACACCGGCGAAGTCAGGAAACTAAGGTTTCAGAGGATCAAGTGATGTGCACAAGGGCACTGGGAGGGGAAACGCCCGGGGATTCTGACTGCAGGTTGGGCAGGCCTCTGAGAGCACCCAGAACATCTGCTCTGCCTAGTCGTGGCACCTCCACCAACGCCACACTTGACGCACAGGGAGAGACAAACACAGAGGGCGGCAGGGGCTGCAGCCACACCACGAGGCTTCCGATGGCTTGTAGCTTCTCCTGACATTTTATGTGGCACCAACCTAATCCAGCTGCCCAACACTGCTCATTCTTGTCTTGGTGGCAGATGGGATGGTTCTGAGACATCTCAAAAAAAACCTCTCGCCTCTTTCTGGCTTCTCGGATGGGAAACACTGGCTTTCACACAAGTCAAAGGCATGCAATCCTCCAGCATCTGCCAAGCATGAGGTCACCCAGAGGGGCAGGGATCCACCCACGAGAGATCAGTGTGAATCAGGAGCAAAGGCCATCCCTGACGGGGTGCCCAGTGCAAAGCTGGCCAGCAGCAGGGGGTGCTCTGGGTACGGAAAGAGGTGTACCAGTTACAATGGCTTCAGCAGGAAATAATGGCCAAACACTTGACTCAAGGTGGCTTCAACAAGAAGACACTTATCTCTCCTAGCAGGAAGTCCAGGGAAGATCAGCAATGTAATGAGAGACCGTGTTCTTTTTTTTTTTTTTTTTATCTTCACCCGAGGACATTTTTCAATATTTTGTTCAGATAGAGTGGGAGGGAGAGAGAGAGAGAGAAACATCGACGTGAAAGGGACATATCGAGTGGTTGCCAACCGCACGACCCAACCAGGGCCAGGGACAAACTGCAACTGAGTACGTGCCCTTGGTGGGAACCGAACTTGGGTCTCTCTGGACCGCAGGCCGAAGCTCTAACCACTGAACCAAAACAGCCAGGCCTGGGGGCCGTGTTCTTGTCTCTGTGCTGTCACTCTCCCTGGGGTCAGCCTCACCCTGGGCCAGGTGCCCTCAAGATGGCTGCAGCTCCAGGCCTCAAAAACATGAACAATTTCCAGGGGAAACAGAGAGACCTTTCTCCTTCCTTCTTAAACATGTATATATCACTCTTAAGCATGACAAAATTTTTTCCAGGATCCACCCCTCACCCCAGCAAATGTCCTTGATGTTTCATTGGCTAGAACTAAGTCACATGCTCATGCCTCAACCAATCACAGGCAAGGAGGGTGGGCCCACTGGGGCCAGGGCCCACCTCCAGTGAAGCATATGGTACAGGGCACCTGGCCCAGCTGAGAGTTGAACAAATTCCAGCACCTGCAGGAAGGAGGAAGACAGGTGAGGTGGAGAATGCGGGGTTGACAACCAGGGGGCCTCTGGCTGGCAGAAAGTCACTTGATGCCAGCAGCCCCGAAGGTAAACACCAGTCCTTGCAGGACACCACTTCTCAAGGGTAAAGTCATCCCTTGTACTCTGGCCCTCACTGGACTCTGGAAGGCCCTCCGCCTTACTTCCTGAGGCCTGTTCCAACTGCTCAGAGGCTTCCCCTCGTGCAACACAGCACTCCAACTATGGGCTGGAGCCTCAGGGCTCATTAAAGCAGAACCACGATCCCCTTTAGAGGCTGACCACTTTAGAGAGACAGGCACACGCCCAGGCAGGAGACGTGGGGAGTGGAAACAGCCCTGCACTGGAAATGGGAGACATCACTCACCCCAGGAGACGCAGCCGATTCTGCTGAGGGCTCCCTCTGTGCAGACAGCAACATGCTAAGCACGTCCAGGTGGCTTTTCGTTGTCTTTGCTTTTCACGTGGTCCTCACAACCACCCTACAAGGTTGGCACTATTACAGCAGGTTCACAGTCCTTATATTTCTGAAATCGCGAATCCTCTGAAAACCAAAGCTGGTTTTTGTTGCTGTTAACTTACTGGGCAGCAAAATCTCAACAGGACCAACATGATGCTCTTTATAGTCTATTTATCCCTTTTGCAATAACTGTTCATATGTTTGATGCAGAAATACTGATGTGTTTTATTATGATGGGCTGCCCTTGACCCCACTGGGGTGTCACACAATGGCCAGCATATATACCATATTCTGAAAATTTCTGCATTCTTTTTTTAAATTTTTTAAAATTGAGATTTAGAGAGAGAGGAAGGGAGGGGGGAGGGAGGGGGAGAGAGAGAGAGAGACGGGAGTGGGGAGAGAAACATCGAACGGCTGCCTTGCACATGCCCTGACCGGGAATAGAACTGGCAACCTTTTGGTGCATGGGATGACACCCAATCAACTGAGCCACACCGGCCAGAGCTGAAACATGTGGCCCCGAGGGTTTCAGAAGAGGGGTTGTGGATGTGTGTCACCCCGTATAACTGGGGTTTCTCAAGGTGAAGTACTCTCTTGGTTAGGAAACCACAACCACGCCGCACGCTGAAACAACTGGATGCTCTGACCCACTCTGTTCTGCCACTCACTAGCTGGTAGCTTTAAAGACGCCGCCTCCCTCTCTGAGCCTGTTTTCTCATTTATAAAATGGGAAGGTTGGACTAGATCAGGGGGTTTCAAGTGTGTTTTTAAAGCATATTAGCCATCCCTTCAAAGGAAACTTTATGGAAAAAATGTCACAGCTCCAGTGAATGAGTCCTGCCCACCCAGCCACCAGGACCCCAAAGCGTGTTCCCAGAGGGATTGCTCCACAGGAGTTTGGAAACTGCTGTACAGTGTGATCTCTCAAGTCCCATCTGGTTCTGACAACATCTTCTTTGAGGCCAACAACCTTTTCTGTGAAGGGAGGACGGCTGGGAGGGATGTGCACCGGACCTGGGCAGGCCGGCAGGCTCCTGACCTGCAGAGAGGCCTGCAGAGCCGAAGGGCACGCGCACAGGTGGAAAGACAGTGCACAAGGTGAGCGAGAGGGTCCAGGAGGCCCTACCGGCCAGGGTGACGGGCGGATGTGCTGGGAAGGTTGGCTGATCAAGGGAGTGAATGTCGGAAATCCTCCTCCCTCCCACTCAGAGCCTGAAAGTCCTCCAAGCAGGAGGCCAGGGGAAAACTGAGTACCCCTGGCCCCACGGTGTGCAGCCACAAGGTCATGGTCCTTCTGTCCTGACTACAGTGACCACAAGCTCCACTGCCTAACTGACAGCTATGCATGTGTTATTGTCGGATTAGTGAATGTTCTGAATAAAAACTCAGGACCTATTGTCTGCCACAAAAGCATGTCCTTCAAGGACAACAGGACAGAGATTTGACAGCAGGGTGGCTGCTCTGGGAAGGTCAGGATGGAGGGCACCAAGGTCCTGGTGTCCTTCCCTACTGTCTGAGGGCAGGTGGACTCCCAGGAGACTGCTGCACCCTGGGAGTGTCCAAAGAAGTCATTCTAAACAACAGCGCCACCTCCTCAC